GTCTTTGCACTTGGTCTGAATTCTTGGGGTTTGCACCAAATCCAGTTTTCCAGCAGCAGATCAGATGCCCAAGGGCTCAGCCTCACTGCCAGGGTGGGCAGAGATCCCTGGCAGAGGGACCCCTGCCCAGGGTCACCCAGTGCCTTCCAACAACCTGGTGGCATCCAGCAAGTGCATCCAACTGGGTCTTGCCCAGCAGGCATAACCACCCCATGGAGTTCCAGTGGGGATGAAGGACATGGCCAAGTGGGAGGGAGGCCGGGAGCTCAGACACAGGGAGGAGGCAGAATTGGCCCTGTGGCTCCACACGGGGCTGGGGGTCCGTGTGCTGCTCCAAAAGGCAGAGCCAATGGTTACCTGGACAGGTCCCAGGACCTTTTTCTACATTGTCACTGCTGAACCCTGGGAATATTCAAGTGGAGCCATGCTTGATGGCAGCTCTCCTTTGAGGACGAAACTACTGATGCTCATTTCTTCCATTTCTCCTACATATTTTGTAGTAAAAATGTCCCACCAAATACTCAGGGAAGGATGGAATTCAGAGTGTCCAGAGTGTGCAGAGTGTGCTCCGTGCTGTGGTGCCCTGCCCATGAGGGCACCTCTCACAATGAGTCCTTCTAGAAGTGACCTGATGCTTGTCCCTGTGGTCAGGGCTCTCAGTGCCCTGGGCAGCTCCTCACTCTGACCAGTGGATGCTCTGCTCACCACGGCAGGGGGATGAGAGCAGAGCCATGACAAGGTCCCACCTTTCAGCTACTGCTACAATGAGCTCTGACTGCTCCCCTCTTGTTCCCTGTAGGAGCTGGTGTTCCTGGTGTTGGTGTTCCTGGTGTTGGTGTTCCCGGCGTTGGCGTTCCCGGTGTTGGGGTCGGTGCTGTCCCAGGTGTCGTGCCCGGAGTTGGTGTCCCCGGCTTGGTGCCCGGTGTCGGAGCTGTCCCCGGGGTGGCAGGTGACTGTTCCCAGGAGCCCTGTGCCCACCCCCCGGCTCTGTGGGGCCCTGGTGGCTGAGGGTCCCTCTCTACTTGTCCCCAGGGGTGCCGTCGGCAGCAGCAGCAGCAAAGGCAGCTAAGATCGGTACGTACGAGGGAACAGGGAGACCCAACTCACGTCTTTGCACTTGGTCTTGGATTTTGCTCCAAAGTTGTTTTCTGGCAACAGACCTGACACAGGATCTGGTGCCCAAGGGCTCAG